TTCTTTATTTCCCTGTGTATGCGTGTGTGTTAGGTAGGGGTTGGGGTTATTTTGTTTTTTTATTTATTATTTTTTTTTGTCCCAACTGCCATCTTCTTCCTTTAGTTCTCTGCGTACATAAATTTTGTAAACAAGTATAATAACCTATTAGCAATAATGCCCAGGCTCGCCTATGTATAGATCCGCCACTGTTTAACAGATACCTTCATCCATAATATTAAAACATATTAAAGTTCATTAAAACTTTAACCGCAGATAAAAAATTGTTGGGTCCGTGGTCAAATAAACTTTGTTATCGACATGAAACCCTTTTGGTCAGGTGCGCGCAGAAATTGCCACAAAAACTTAACGTACCCCCAAACACACCAATGAAATGTCGCAGTTGCCAGGAAGATTCTACGATGAAGCAAGGTAAAAGTTAAGGATCATAAAGTTAAATGTTTTGTTTATAAGGAAAACTCCCATGAAATAAAGATTGTCTGACAAATATTTCAAAATCAGATGCAGGCTACCCATTACAGTCCATTATGAAATTGCATGCGCTGATTTTATTGTTATGGTGATGCTGAGAAGATAATCCCTTTTAGCGGAATTCAGTTATATGAAGCAGAACAAGAGGTAAGTAAAAATTGAGTTTTATAATTTCTTCTATAAATATTACAAATCGCATGTATTTCTAACACTGATGCACTATTTGTAGTGTTTATGGGTAGTTGGTAACCGAGTTACCCGAACTCGGGTCGTTCTTAAAGGAAGATTATTCAGACACGGATTCAAGCAACGATTGACTCACACAAGAAAAGAAAATAAAAATTCTAAACACTCTACTCTCAATTTAGGGTTTGGATTAAGCTAAAGAATGCAATTTTAAGCTAAATGAGAGCAAGATTCAAACTTTATCGCAAGCAAGACCTCAATTTGCAAGAAAAAGAAAAATAAAGAAAAAAATAACAAGGTACTTTTAGACCAAGATAGAAGGAATGCACTCATAGGTTCAGGAACATGCAATCAAGCGGTCGTCACTCGCGATCAATTAATCGACCTCTCAATCAATTCTCGCTCATGCAATCAATAACAAAATCACATAATCTCTAGCCTACGAGAATGATAGCATAATCGACTCATGGACGTGCCTATTTTAACCCTAGAATAAATTCAATAAGTAACGACAAACAATAACGAAATCAATGACCTTAAATGAAGTCTCCAAGTCTCTAATGCATCCACGAGAAGAAATAAGTCGAAAAATTGTAATCTTGATAGAGAAATGGTACAATAAAAATAGAGTCTTGGAACCCTTAGAGAGAGAAAGAAAACTAGAGAGAGAAGAGAGCAAAAACTAAAAAGAAAATTTTAGCAAATGAGGAAATCTTCCGAAAAATACAAAGTACAATGTCTATTTATAGCTAGACCACAAGCACACACTAAAAACACACATGTAATAAACTGAATGCGCAACGTTGCGAAATGAGGTTCGGGCCGCGAATTTGTTGGGTTCGATATACCGTACGAAACAGAGTTTACAGCGTAATTTAAAATTTTATTAAGTATTTATCTTATAAATACTTATTCCGTACATAAGTATAACGATATAACGAATAAGCATCATTTAAAATCTAGTAACTTTTACTAATTTTGATTTGATATGTAATTTATAAAAATTACCCTTGTTCTTGAACTACTTCAAAACCGACGATGTATGAGGAAATCAATTCCCGGTTTGGTAACGATCACTTCTTGTGGTTACTCACTTTAGGAATTCAAATGTCTTCCCTCTTATCGTATCCACCTTTTGAAGTCTAGTTCCGACAATAGTTCCTTCACTAGTAGAAACTACTCGGTTTTATTCAATAAGTATGGAATATATATTTGTAAGGAAATTTTTCAAGAACACTTTCTTGTATTATCACTCAAGTCTTTGAATGAATTTTTCTCTTGGAAGAATTTAGCTAAAAAACTTAGCAATTAATGTGCAAATATTTTGCACCTATTTATACTAAATACTTTAGCATAAAATAATCAATATTTGATATATTTTATTTTAAATAAAATCAGATTTTATTTAAATAATCATACCAAATATTGACTTTTAATTAATAATGTGATTGGTTTATAACCACCATCAATCATTATTATTGTATTAATAAAAATAAGATTAATTATGTGGATTAGTTAACAACTCCAAACCACCATAATTAATTTATTCTTATTATTATTTAATCTTCAATCATTTTAAAGATAAATAATAAAATAATAATTTTTGAAAATATTTTTCAAGACTTTATTAT